GGATATATATTATAGACAATATGACTAATTCTATATTGAACTTTGAGTGTTAAATTTAGACGTTAAAATTGAAAATTTTCAACTATCAACAATTGAGGCTTAAAAAATTAAAATATTGCAAAAAAATACTTTTGAAATGCCTTAATATATAATATATTATGTATTAAAAGCAATAGAGTACTCATTTGATTCATCAGACTTATCATAATTATTAAAAAGTCAAATTTATATGAGCCTGTGGCTAAAAATGGAGGTTTTCCAATGAAGGGGGGCCTTACATGAAGATGTAATATTTTCCAGCAATTTTAAATTTTTAAAGCTTTTTGGTTATAAATAATCCTTACATATGTATTTAATGTACTTTAAATGGAAAGAAAACTTACAAATAACATATCACATTAGCTTAAAAGGGTCTTAGGCCAAGTAAGACTGAAAATAATTTAGGGTCAATTTAGGCTGTATCACATATTTACATTTAAAAATGCATATTGAAGCTATATGAAATAAAATTTTGTGTCTTTTCTATCATTTCTATACTCAGGTGACATGATACAATAAATCTGAGCACAAAAAGACTCTTGCATTCAACTTTTTTTGCAGACAGTATGGTCTGATACAAAGATTTTTCACTTTTTAGTGAAAAACATGCATGCAATTTTAGTCTCAACAGGCTTATATTTGAACCACTTGCTATCCTACAGAAGAAAAGAAAGGTATTATGTGACATAAAACAGGTACAAAAGACATTGTTAAGTGCTTTTTATACAAATTTAGTGAGGTCTTTATAATGGACTTCAACTTTTATGTTCCAAGCGCCTCACATTTAACTTGATCCAAACAAGGCGTTAGACGAGGATCATATATACAACACATTTTGCGCATATTGTCTGAGATAATCTTCTTTTCTGTAGATTCAGAGTTCACAAATGAGTAATACAACTGGATTGAAACATAGAAACACAAATATTGACACATAAAAACCTGTCAGATAGAAAGTCAGAATGCCACTTATGCATCAAAATTGAAAAAGCTATGAAATGCTTATTTTGACCATAAAATGCCAAAATTGGTCATTTTTGCAGAAATTCTATCAAATAAAAGTTTAAATCCTTTAGTTTTATGCTATTTGATAAATTGACACCATCAAATCATTCAGGGAAGTTGCCAAAGTACAGATTCTATATTTCCTGATTTCACCTCTTAGGTCCGAGTACACAGTTATTTCGTAGTGCATTTCTTTTAGACAATAAATGGAAATTAAAAAAATCCCACCTGCGCTTTCTCAATAATATTTTTACAGTGTGTTGTACTACTTTTGGGACAAATTATATCAAAATTATAGAAAACTTCATCGGCTCTAACTCAAAATATGGACAATTTCATGCTAAGGGGGTCTTCAAATCTTTTGACAGCTTCCGATGTGCTAATTTTTAACATTTTTCAGCTGGACCAAATCACTACTTTACTTTAAAATTCATGACCCAAATTTTTTTACAGTGTCATTTCACCCCCCTACTTACTATTTGAGTCATAAAACATGGAGAAATAAATTCGGAAGGGGTATAAAAAAAATCGACAAGTAACACACTGTCCACACTAGGGACTATATTCGTGGACAACGAAAATCAAAGGACGATAACTGTGTACCCGGACCTAATAGGGTAGAAAAAGTTGACCAATCTTAATGAAACTTGGTATGACTAAAGCTTATTAAATTATAAGACTGCTTACAAAGTTTCATGGCAATAGGATATATATTATAGACAATATGACTAATTCTATATTGAACTTTGAGTGTTAAATTTAGACGTTAAAATTGAAAATTTTCAACTATCAACAATTGAGGCTTAAAAAATTAAAATATTGCAAAAAAATACTTTTGAAATGCCTTAATATATAATATATTATGTATTAAAAGCAATAGAGTACTCATTTGATTCATCAGACTTATCATAATTATTAAAAAGTCAAATTTATATGAGCCTGTGGCTAAAAATGGAGGTTTTCCAATGAAGGGGGGCCTTACATGAAGATGTAATATTTTCCAGCAATTTTAAATTTTTAAAGCTTTTTGGTTATAAATAATCCTTACATATGTATTTAATGTACTTTAAATGGAAAGAAAACTTACAAATAACATATCACATTAGCTTAAAAGGGTCTTAGGCCAAGTAAGACTGAAAATAATTTAGGGTCAATTTAGGCTGTATCACATATTTACATTTAAAAATGCATATTGAAGCTATATGAAATAAAATTTTGTGTCTTTTCTATCATTTCTATACTCAGGTGACATGATACAATAAATCTGAGCACAAAAAGACTCTTGCATTCAACTTTTTTTGCAGACAGTATGGTCTGATACAAAGATTTTTCACTTTTTAGTGAAAAACATGCATGCAATTTTAGTCTCAACAGGCTTATATTTGAACCACTTGCTATCCTACAGAAGAAAAGAAAGGTATTATGTGACATAAAACAGGTACAAAAGACATTGTTAAGTGCTTTTTATACAAATTTAGTGAGGTCTTTATAATGGACTTCAACTTTTATGTTCCAAGCGCCTCACATTTAACTTGATCCAAACAAGGCGTTAGACGAGGATCATATATACAACACATTTTGCGCATATTGTCTGAGATAATCTTCTTTTCTGTAGATTCAGAGTTCACAAATGAGTAATACAACTGGATTGAAACATAGAAACACAAATATTGACACATAAAAACCTGTCAGATAGAAAGTCAGAATGCCACTTATGCATCAAAATTGAAAAAGCTATGAAATGCTTATTTTGACCATAAAATGCCAAAATTGGTCATTTTTGCAGAAATTCTATCAAATAAAAGTTTAAATCCTTTAGTTTTATGCTATTTGATAAATTGACACCATCAAATCATTCAGGGAAGTTGCCAAAGTACAGATTCTATATTTCCTGATTTCACCTCTTAGGTCCGAGTACACAGTTATTTCGTAGTGCATTTCTTTTAGACAATAAATGGAAATTAAAAAAATCCCACCTGCGCTTTCTCAATAATATTTTTACAGTGTGTTGTACTACTTTTGGGACAAATTATATCAAAATTATAGAAAACTTCATCGGCTCTAACTCAAAATATGGACAATTTCATGCTAAGGGGGTCTTCAAATCTTTTGACAGCTTCCGATGTGCTAATTTTTAACATTTTTCAGCTGGACCAAATCACTACTTTACTTTAAAATTCATGACCCAAATTTTTTTACAGTGTCATTTCACCCCCCTACTTACTATTTGAGTCATAAAACATGGAGAAATAAATTCGGAAGGGGTATAAAAAAAATCGACAAGTAACACACTGTCCACACTAGGGACTATATTCGTGGACAACGAAAATCAAAGGACGATAACTGTGTACCCGGACCATAAGTTTGAACGTTGTTTTCAATTTAGACTTGTACAAGTCTAAATTGAAAAAAATTATTTTATTAAAACAAAAAAAATTATATATATACAAGTCTAAATTGAAAACAACGTTCAAACCTATGATTGCGTTGGATAAAAACCGCAATTTTTATACGTGTGCATGCAAAACAAATTTCCTGGTAGAGGAGTCTAAATACAGCACAAATAACATTTTCCAAAAGACCCAAAAAAGTGAAAAAGTATATTTTAACAAAACGCATTTGACTAGCAGGTCGAACAACGGATGTTCTTAAACACTGCTGACTGCCATTGGCGATTTCCAAATAAACGGATCACCAGATGTAACAAAATGGATCTTAACTATTAACTTAATACCAAACAGAAAACCATAAACTTGCAGAAAAGATGGTATACCGCAAAAAAAAGGTGCACAAATAAGTACACCATATCCGGATTTCGACAATTAATGTCTCTTCAGTGATGTTAGGAATCGAAACGGTATTTGGAAGGCCATAAAATTTACCTCAATTTAGGATAGACTCTTGAATTTGGAAGAGTCGAAATAGGATGAACGGATCATATAAACACGAAGGCTAATATAATACAAGCCCAAACGAAAAAATATAAATAAGTCTGAATTGAAAAACAGCGTTCAAACCTATGATTGCGTTGGATAAAAACCGCAATTTTTATACGTGTGCATGCAAAACAAATTTCTTGGTAGAGGGGTCTAAATACAGCACAAACAACATTTTCCAAAAGACCAAAAAAAGTTAAAAAGTATATTTTAACAAAACGCATTTGACTAGCAGGTCGAACAACGGGTGTTCTTAAACCCTGCTGACTGCCATTGGCGATTGCCAAATAAACGGATCACCAGATGAAACAAAATGGATCTTAACTATTAATTTAATACCAAACAGAAAACAATAAACTTGCGGAAAAGATAGTATACCGCAAACAAAAGGTGCAAAAATTAGTACACCATATCCGGAATCCGACAATTAATGTCTCCTTATTGATGTTAGGAATCGAAACGGTATTTGGAAGGCCATATAATTTACCTCAATTTAGGATAGACTCTTGAATTTTGAAGAGTCGAAATAGGATGAACGGATCATATAAACCCGAAGGCTAATATAATACAAGACCAAACGAAAAAATATATATATAATTGTCAAACAATTAGTCCAGTTTCAGTTTTGCATTGTACATTTTTTTTTCTCATCAAATGAAAGACGATCTACTGGTATCCTGCAATTTTTATGAAAAGTAATAAAAAGTCCAGGTAGAAGTTATAAAGGTTTTGAATAAGTTATTGACTAATCTGAGAAATTTTAAATAATAAAAATGTAAAGTCTATCAAATTCAGTATCTCTCTGTTGTATAGGTTTGGAACAGTCTTTTAAATTTCAAATCTTCAAATTGTTTACTTCTTGTTTTGAGCACCACAAAAATAAAATTAGATAGCAAAACTTCACTACGGTAACTGATAATTTTGTTTAATTGCAGGATAAGTTTAGACTTAAGATTAAGATGCATATTTTGCTATATGATAATAATATAATGATATCACATTAACTGATTGCCATTTAAGGTTATGGAAGATCTGGAAAGTGGAGAAAAGATGACCCAAATTCTCGAGAAATGCACATAGTCTGAGGAAACAAAATAGTGGAGTGGTAATAACCTTCATCAGGTGGTGTTGTTTGAATATTTACCAGTACATTCTTAAAACGTCATTTAATACTGACTGAATGTGTTTGTTATGAAATGCAATGTAGAAAAAGCCACAAAAGAACAAAAGAAAACAGAAGATCTTTCAAGAATCTTAGGCCACAATATTCAAAGCAATTCACAATTAATCTGATATTAAAACAAACGAAATTGCTTTTTGAGGCAGCACTGCAATAAAACTTTTTTCTAATATAAATATCTTTTATTTTATATGTTCTTAGCAACATCTTCGATAACTGTTCTTGAGAACTTATCAAAGGAGCAATAAAGTTTATTACTTTTTAAAAAAGGGTGAGATACCAAGGAGTAAAAAGACAAAGGCAATAAGTAAAAAAACAGACAATACAAGTGGCAAAATCCCAACGAAAAGACGAAAATTAATGGCAGCGAATACCCCCAAAACTCTAAACAAAACTAAACAGAAAACTAAAGAATGTAAAAAAAAAAAGATTTTAAACAGAAATCTGGGTTGACTTAATGTATTCTGGAAGAGACAACCGACATGTTACTCCTGTTGATGATCGGACAGCTGATAGTAATTAGTGTAAACGTCAGTAGTAATGTTTATTGTAAACTTACAGAATAAGGCAAAACTGCCGTTACTTGCATTTCTCATGAATATAAAACCTTTTATTTCTACTGAATGCTTGAACTTTAACATCCGAAAAGAAATTGAAGTAGATTTGAGTTGTATTTCCTTCTTCACTATATAAACAACAAATTAATATAAACAAGTACTATGCTGTTTGACTTCTTTTTAACAATTATACGGTAAACCGTTTTGTAATTAACAATTGCATAATGAACATTATGCACACATTTATTACAAAACAGCATACACCTAAGATACGAGTGTAGCTTAAACAGAGTATTCCATAATACTTGTACATTTTAATAAATAAGGAGGAGATTCAAACAGAGCCTAATGACTGACTAATCTTGAAGTACGTAAATAGAAGAAGCATCATAAATTCTTAAATTGCATGGATAGGTTTAAAAACTACCAAAAAATCAACAAGGATACAACATTATAAATCTCAACAATATCTCAGCAATGTCTTAATTACAATGGAGGGGATGTTTGTTTATTTTTTGTCTGTATACGTGGAAATATGCTGCCGTTAACTGAGGGAGTTGTACTCCTAATACCACTTTTCTTGCAATTTTAAAGAAAGCAGTTAACGAAGCTTCATATATTCATTGCTTGAAAACACCAGTTATCGATGATTAGGACATATGACCGTTGCTTTACATCAAATCGTGTTTGAATTAAATGGATATTTGGGTATTATATTGCGATAATCTATATATTGTACTGTTATCGTGTTCTTTTTTACCATATAATTCTGTTCGAGATCTAGACTAAACTCCATACATTGTAAGTTTGGTCCTTTTACTAACTTGCCCATATCTATATACAAATAGTGTATAGTATTGTCGGATTTTCTCTCATGATATCGCAAGAAATCGAACCTATTAACACATTTGCGATAACATAAATCACTTTGTACAGTTGTTTAGTGCATCAACATTTTTCAATAACATGTATCACTCTATACAGTTGCATATTACATAAACATTAACATATTTGCAATAACATGTACACACAGAACTTGTTTAACCCCGCCGCATTTTTGCGCCTGTCCCAAGTCAGGAGCCTCTGGCCTTTGTTAGTCTTGTATGATTTTTAATTTTAGTTCATATTTTTGGAGTTAAGTATGACGTCCATTATCACTGAACTAGTACACATTTTTGTTTAGGGCCAGCTGAAGCACGCCTCCGGGTGCGGGATTTTCTCGCTGTGTTGAAGACCCATTGGTGGCCTTCAGCTGTGTTCTGCTCTTTGGTCGGGTTGTTGTCTCTTTGACACATTCCTGATTTCCATTCTCAATTTTACAACTATATACTGTTGCATATTACATAAACACCAACCAAAGAGGTAATCCTGAATAATGATAAGTTTTTCTATTTTTCTTTGGAATTTCATTCTAAGATGAAGCACTGGATCATCCTTCACTTTATTGGATACCTAAAATACATAAATAAGGGCAACAGTAGTATACCGCTTTCGAATAGTCATGATTCGATTTAGCAAAAACAAATCCGGGTAACAAACTAAAACCGAGGGAAACACATCAACTATAAGAGGAAAACAACAGAACAACAAAGACACTGAACTACAACAAAAGCAAATGCCAACATACATAGAAACGGACTGTCTCATAACAACTGCCATATTTCTGACTTGGTACAGGAAATTTTAAGAAAAAAATGTTGGGTTGAACCTGGTTTTATTGCTAGCCAAACCTCCCACTTATATGGCAATGTTAAAAATACCGTTAAAACGACAACACTACGTGACAGAAATACAATACAATACAAACACAAGAACACTCAGCACAGAGAAATAGATAAATAAATAATATAATAGTACATTTCAACATGTAAACCGCAGAATAACAATAGACACCTCCCATGAATTTACGACAGCACACAAGGACACCACAAACGAAATATAACTGCACGTCACATGAATGGATCGACGTCACAAAAAGTTACTTATCTTTTGTGACGTTTATATAATCACAGGTAAACTTCTAAAAATTAAATAGATTTGTTTAATTAATAGACACGTACAAGAATATTAAATTGGGATTATGTTTGTAATGGTTTTATTTTATGTATTTTCTAACCAGGACAAGAATATTAAATTGGAATTGTGTTTGTAATTGTGTTATTATTTGTATTTTCTAACCAAGTCGGTTTTTCGTCTAAATCAAAACTGTGTATAAACAAAAAAATCCTGTGCATATAGTTGCTTTAAACTTAAAATCATATAAATGAAGTAGCTGATTTTTTATCTTAACTTTTACATACATATAGAAAATAAAAATAAAATAACTGTAATATAAGGCAAGATCGTGTAAGACCAAACAGTTAACACACATGGAAACAAACAGCATAACACAAAAACCCTGTAGACGAACCACGAGTAACTCGACTACACTGACATATAAGACATATGTGAAATGTACCGAAAATACAGAATTCAAACCACAAACGAAATAAACAGACAACAATTCAGCACAAAATGATCCACATGTATAAAAAAGTAACAACAAAATGCCCGAAAGCGAAATATAAAAATACAGAACCACATTGTCTCTAACAGCGAACATAAAACATAATAAAATATCCAACCGAACTTGCAAAAAAAACATCATAACTAAATACATGAATGTTGGATATATAAATACCGAGACACGTCGTATAGCAATGCCAATTCACACTCGGCAAAACAGTCATATTCGGAAAGAGGTCACGTTCATGAGTGTCTTTAAGACAACGTTAAATTGCTAAGTCTTCCAAGTGCACCATGAAAACTCTTTCTAAACTATTAATATTAATTTAATCATCAAATCATAGTGGCGAAAGGGGTATGTGAAACTACCCACTCTAGAGGCTATGTGAATCAAATGTGGATACTTAAAATTCAAAAGATCTACTAGAGTACAAAATATATTGTTCTGGGGAGGGACAAATCAAACTTTGTAAATATATCAGGTAAACTAAAAAGCCGATATAATCAAGATGATTGATTTCTTGAATATAAATTCATCATAGATACCAGGATTAAGTACGCCAGACGCGCGTTTCATTTCATCAGTGCCCGCTCGAATCAAGAATGATAACCTTATTGTTTCGTTTGAAGGACATATCTTTTAACAAGCAATCGGCATTTTAATGGGACATTGTATTTTAACAATACCACGGATTTTATCCGAAATGAATAACACCGGATTTAATTTTAGTCACACATTATAAATATATGTTGTAACTAATTCCACAATTTTATTATCACAAATGTAATACGTGATTACAAATGATAATTCGTTGTAACAAATTACACAAATCCTGAATACGATTAATTTTAATCGAAGGATAAAGGCATCGATGGCCGAGTAGTCGAACTACTGTATCAAAAACCCTGCCATCACAGATATTGTGAGTTCGAGTCCGGCAAGTTGCAGGTGCGTTCGACTCAAATCTTAATTGAATAGGATTGTCAGTTTTCCTACCAAAAGTCGGTGGTTCTCTCCGGGGACTGCGATTCCCTTCAACTATAAAAACTAACCGCTACGAAATAGCACTATATAGTGCGGAAAGTGGCGTTTAACACCGATCAATCAATCACTTAATCTAAGGATATGATTTCAATCTGTTATCACGAAAATGCTTTAAAAGAAGGATCTCTGATTATTCGCTGCTTTAAAAGAAAAAAGTAATAACTGAAGATAAAATTCAATCAAAACAAATAATTTATTATATCTTTTGATATATGGGTCTATTTATCGGTTACTGGTATGACCTCAGATAGATAGTATAATCAACGAGGTCATCACAAAACAAATATATCTTTTCCCATGGTTTATAACGTTTAAATTCTTTTTCGTGGCAATATAAATCGACATCAAGTAATATTTGGGTCTACTACATGAACATGTAGTTATAGTATCATGAACTGCCGTATTGGCAGTATATCAAGGTTCTTTAATTTTTTAAAACTACTCATTTCGCGGGATAAAATCTGGAAACAAAACTAATCTGAATGAAAATAACAAATACTGACTTTTCTATTTCATAATAACATTACATAAATTAGAGGACATTCTACTTTCTTGCAGAATATGTATTAGAACGTTCTACTTAAAAATGATTACATGAAAAAAAAATATTGACTATTTTACAATAACATTGAATGAGTTATATCATTAGCACAATGAATCTTTAAATTGGATATTTAAAACGGCGTTCTACCTTCTTTCAGCTCATATATAAGAACGTTCTACTTAAACATAATTCAGTTTACCTGGTAACTGATATCCCAAAAATTGTATATTGATCTATGACGAGTTAGTTTACTATATAAACGAAAAGAACAGCCACTATATTACCCACAAATATTCAACCACTACGACAGGTTAACGTCTACATGAAATTTAGTTTTGCTTCAATATGGCTCAATTTTTAGGCAAATGGAAATCAGTATCTATGTCAAATATCGAAGGTGTAGGCAAAGCTTTGGGTAAGTGCAGTTTTAATTTTTACTTTATATTTATTCTGCAAGTGTCCTGACTAGTCATAAGATTTATTTATCATATGACTGTTTCGATCTTATATATCATGTGATTTTGTTTCCATCTTTTTTATCATATTATTTTGTTGTTATCTTATATTTCATTTATAATTCTGTTGTTGCGATTTTCTTCTGTTTTGAAATTTTATATTGCATCTTCACGGCATGGGAACGGAAATTTGACTTAGATATTGTAATGATACATGAAAATCGAAACAGTTTTCATATAGCTTACAAATATACATCTCATATAACATACATTTGATACCATAAATTAATTAAAATGATGCAAGAACTTTAAAATTATGCAGAGGAAAACATGAATTTTACCATAATTTAATAATATTTTAATTTTGGAATTTGAAACCCATTCTGTAAATTCACATACTTATCAAATCAAGAGGTTAAATTGATTTCTAATTCGAACATAAACAATCTTTACTAAAAAAAGAGATAAAATACACAAATGTACATGGTTATATCTTCTTCACACACATTTTTCGAGACGACTCACTTTGTATCATAAAGATGACAAATCAATACCTTGTTTACTTCGGTAACCATCATTAAATGTTATTTTGAAACCTCAATCGTCATCTTAAAAAGGTTAAAATATGTTAAACTATGTTATACTAGCAAATGACTATTGTATTATTTATCTATCGAGAAAAGTCATTAGAAGCTTGGTACACTGATATTGTGAAATATATCAATATCTGCTGTAAGCAATTATAGGCAACCGTACGGCCTTCAACTCTGAGAAAACCCCATACCGTATAGTCGGCTAGAAAAGGCCCTGACTTTTAAAATATGAAACTATTCAATTGAGAAAACTAACGGCCTACTTTATAATAAAACAATTAACGAAAACAACTATGACAGACATGAACCAACGACAACCACTGAACTACATGTTCCTGACTTGGGACAGGCACATAAAGAATGTGGAGGGATTAAACATGTTTGTGAGCGCTCAACCCTTTCCTAGCCGTGGACAGTGGTGTAACAGCACATCATAAGCAAAAAATCATGTATCTAAGACTAACATATCAACCAGTACACATCAAATATCCAATGGATTAAGTGTAAGGACGCCATTAACAGTCAGAGAAAAAAAAATGACCTTGTGCAATGCCAAAATATAGGTATTGACAGATTGTAGTACCGTGAAAGTAGATATGTGTATAACAATAATATTTAGTATGGTTTTAATTTACTGATAACAAAATCAATATTTATACCAGTAAAAACAATATTCAAAGATTTAATTACAGTGTTGTAATGGTAACCTTTTAGAATAAGTGTATTTAAAGGATTGATAAGTTTACCCGAATCGTATCTAAATTTCCGGGCTCGATTAACAACATCATCGTAAAAATTTAAGATGTGTTATTCCGTTTGAAATAAGTACAGCCAAACTTGCAAACCAAATCTTTGTATCTATGGAAGAATTTAGTTAAGGTTTTAAGTAATTTGTGGTAACGAAATCCCTGCCTCAATAATTTACTAGTAATACTTAGATTACGCTCATTGCAATACAAAACGTCACTACAAACACGGGCATAACGAACGAGTTGGGATATATAAACACCGTAAGACGGTGCCAAAGGAACATCACCGTCAAAAAAAGGAAAATTAACAACAGGGAAAGAAAAATCATCCCTTTTGTCGTAAATTTTTGTGTAGAGTTTCTGGTGTAACACTGAAATATCAAAAAAAAACAGTGATTGCTGTTATGCTGCAGTTATTGTCATTGTCTGCTTAGGTTAATAATTAAAGGCAAATATTTAAAAAAAAAAATGAATATCCGTTTACAGATATTGTTATTTGAAGTAATATCCCGAGTCTAGATACTTTGAATACACAAAACAGTGAAATGATTTATTCCCATTTTCAGTCAAAATGTCAATAAGTGCATGTAAGCTGTCTAAACACTGTGAACGTGGTCGGAATAGCATGTACCAAAAACAGAAGGTGTGCCAATTGAGTAATAATATCCCTCACTAGTCAGACAATTCCAAAGTTGTATCCAGTAGTATACGTTATGATTAGGGACAAGACAAAACCATCAATAATATCATTTAAGTCGTTGTCTTTTATATAATGATTAAGAACTTGATGGAGAACTTGTGTATTTCCTTAATGTTCCTGATAGCCGTTTAGAGTAGGTTTATAGTTACGAGTCTTCATTTTAATTTGTTAGTACAATCTCAACAGTAAGAACAGGTTCTGACATATCTTATCATCTGCGATACGTAAACGCCATTGCCCAATAAGATAGCATGTTACTACTAAAAGATATGAAGTCTGCAGTTTGAAAACTGAATTCATTACAATAATTTTAAAACCTAGTTTAAGTTGTCCATATAGTCATATATGTTTGTTTTTGTCTCTTAGGTTTTTTTTATAAAAAAGTTTATACGTATTGAATATATATACATGCACAATCAACTTTAAGGCTATACAGATGAAATGATTACCAAGTACAAAGAATCTACCTGGACATTTGAATTCACTAAAGACGGAGATAAGTGGTCAGTTACAAATGAATCGAACAACACACCTAGATCAACTAATACCTACGAAGAAGGGAAAGAATTGGAGACGAAAAACTCATTTGGAAAATGTCTTAAGGTTGTAAAAATTGAAGTCTCTGATAATTATTGTATTCTTTCTATGCAATTTTAAGTGGATGTTTAAGGGAAAAGACTATTCACAAGTGTATATCTGTAAATATGATCCATCTTCAAAGCGTTAATCAATTCTTCAAGTGTGGGAGGTTTTAAATTAATTTCAAGTCATGTAAAACCGGTATCTTCTGGTTTTATATGACAGGTACGCATCATGCAGGTAAAAAGCAAATCACTTTGCCGACTTTGATTATGCTTACGATACCAATTGGACGTTACGCAAACAATAATCAATCAATTGAATTTGCGTTAAAATTACTTTCTTTCTATGTAATATCAACATGTAGCGTATGTTTTTTTTTTCAAAATGAAATGTTTCAAATTTCTTTTAAAGAAACAACGTTTTAGAAAAGAAAGTTTAAAAAAAATAGTTTAACCTAAAAAAAAAAACAGTCCTCCTTTCCCCACAGAAGATATCACGTTGGTACCTCATCTCTATTTTTGCTCCCATTTCTAAATGTGTTACCTTGTAAATTAGCTATTCGCTTAGAAAAACTACGAAAAAGTAATTTTTGCGATATACATATTTCTGTATGTTTTAGATTACTATCAAATTTGACTCTGATACCAAAATGACTGTAATGGAAAAAATGGAACTACCAGTTGGTTGGAAAAATGTGAAACTCGTACGACAAATCGAAGGAAATAAAATGACAGCAGTGAGTATTCATTATGTGATTATTGCTTAGCATCACGGTACGAAGCTATAAGTTTCATTTGACATTCACGCAATCTTGAAACTGTTACTTAACACACATCTGTTCTGATTGCTTACCTTTAAATGTGGTTAAAGTTCGTTTGGCTAAAATGAGATGTACAATTGGGAACCTGTCCTGGACAGAAGTCATTAAATACAGAAGATAAGGAATAAAATTACAATATGGGTATTTAAGACCCAGTTTACAGTGATTGTTTTTTTTTATAAATATTGCTGGATGACCATTGAAACATTTATAAGGAATACGTATTCCCTTTGCTTAACAAATCTGCATGATACACAATTCGTTTTCCTAAATATGATAGTGTATCATATATCACCAGTGATAGTAATTATATACAAAATTATAAACAACTCAGTTCTAATTGATGAATAATTATTAGATACTTATTTGTTAATTTTTAACTTTCATATAAAACAATTTAGTATAATAAGTTTTAAACTAGAACGTACACAAAAAATTACAACAACACAACACAGAAGTAAATTACGTCCCCTATGTGTATGTATGCCTAAAAACACGGAAAATCAAATGCAGCAATTTATATGTTACAAGTGGTATTCCACGGGGTATTCGACGCCTGATAAATGATAAGATGTGCATTTTAATATAAGCACTGTTATATGTTACACATACTAGATGTAGACTATTGCCTTTTATTCATCTGACGGTCAAATCAAACGGATTCTTACATTTACTAATTTAAACAATTGCAGAAAGTATATAGTAAATGAATCCAAGCGTACTCAATTTATGGTACAATGCATGTTTGTGAAAAATCTACTTCAATTTGACAGTTGAAGTCCTATAACTCAGAAAATTGTCAAAATCGAAATGAAATTATAAGTTGTAATTGGCTGTGAACTAGCTTTCAGTAACGACGAGTTCACTTATATCGGTGCATTTTTGTCTATTGTTTTGTGTTAGGTGTTTATTTGTGCTTCGTACAAAATTGAAAGAAGGCATTTTTGCAACTGATTTTTACAGTTTGTTCTACCACCAATGTCCCAGGTTAGGGGAGGGTTAAATGCTCACTAACATGTTTAACCCCGCCACATTCTTTATTTGCCTGTCCATAGTTAGGAGCCTGTAAATCATTCATTGTCTTTGGTTCATGTCTGTCATATATGTTTTTCGTACATTGTATTGTATAAATTCGGCTGTTAGTTTTCTCGTTTGAATTGTTTCACATTTTTCATATCAGGACCTTTTAAAGCTGACTTTACGGTATGTGTTTTTCTCATTGAAGGCCTTGGTGATAGTTGATAGTTGTCTCATTTGAAATCATACCACATCTGATTTTTTTTTATAATAACTAAACACATAAACCACATCTTACTCTAAAGACGGATACTGCGAAGCACTATAAAGCGTTATATAACGCTTAAACCTTTTATATCCTTAATCTACATTTTTACACACATACCTTAAATATGTACTTGACAAGTCTTAATCGATACACACAGTCGTTTTTAATCTTAAGAATATTCAATTTCATCCTGTCTTGGTCAAGATTATTTTGTTAAGTTGTCAAGAATTTTTACTATCCCACCCCACCCTATCCCGAATGTCAAATGGTCATCCCATTGGTAAGAGCAAAAATTAATAACCTATTATGTCACTATATATGTATTTAGAAATGAATTGAACAATAATTATCTGTCACACAACCAGTTTTATTTTGTAGCTGTAATCATATACCAATCCATTTTTCCTGTGCATGACGAATATTACTGTAGAAAGCATAAATTATGAATATTTACTAATCAACTATTACGAATGTATCATAATAATGTCGATAATTATCTAATATCAACTGCTTGTCATTTAAGGTTATGGAAGAACTGGAAAGTGGGGCAAAGATGACCCAAATACTCGAGAAATGCACATAGTCTGAGGAACAAACATAAAGAGTGGTAATAAACGTCATACATTGGTGTTGTTAGAATATTTCCCACTTAACTGTGAAAACGTCTACTAATGCTTACTGAATGTAAAAATAAGACGTGTGTTTCTTATAAAAAAGCGACGTAAAAAAACTACAAAAGAACAGACGCAAAACAGAAGGCTTCAACAAATATCAGACAATCATATATAATTTATTTTCAAAAGAACATCTGATATTAAAATAAAAAAGATTATTGGAGGTATATCTGTTAGACTTTTTATGTTTAAACACTAGAATATTTGTCGTATATAAACAAATGTGGGCAGCTTTGTAATAAAACTTTTTCTAACATTGTTATCTCTTAATTTATTTAATCTTAGCTACATCTTAGGGACATTCCTTCAGTGTACATATCATTGGAGTAAAAAAAGCCAAAATAATGTGTTAAAAAAGGGAGAAAAAACCACGGGGAAAATACAAAAATAAGCAAGACAATACAACTGCCAAAATTCATACGAAGAGAAGAATAAAAAAAAACAACATACAATTAACATACATAAATGCAACAGCAGTATACCGCTGTTCGAAATTCATAAATCGATTGAGAAAAAAACAAATCCGGGTTACAAACTAAAACTGAAGGAAACACATCAAGTATAAAAGGAGAACTACGACACAACAGAAACACAACATTAAAATGTAACACACACACAATGGACAAAACAAAAAGACCGAGGATGCAATGCGGTGCTCTGGACAAATAAGAAGCTTCTGCTCCACATGTGACAACCGGTGTGTTATTCCTGTTGATGATCGAAAAGCGGATAGTTATAATTGTAAACTTCGGCAATACGGTTTGTTAATTGTAACCTATAAAGCAAAGCTATCGTTACTTGCAGTGCTCATAAAGAAAACCCTTTTCTCTATTGACTGCAAACACATTAACCGACGAAAAGAAATAAATTAATTTTGAGTTGTCTTTCCATCTTAACTATAAAAATAAACTAGTATGCTGTTTGATTTCATATCAACTAGGATACAGTTAATCGCTTTCCGATGAACCTTCGCATAATTCACGTTCATTCGGCACACATTTATCAAAAATTATGTGTATAGACATTGTATACCCCCTTAAATGTATCTTAAAAAGAGTATTATATAAAGCATTGTAAACTCCTTGGGGGAGAAATCTTAAACTAGAAATATGACTAATTTGGACATACATGTATGTAAACAGAAGCTTCATCATATTTCTAAATTTGCAGGGCCATGTTAAAACACTTCGAATTAGTGTAACAAAACAAATATATTACTTAAGTCTTTGCGTTGTGTTTTTTTCTATAACAGTTTTTGTAAGAATTCTTTTACTGCTTTGCCTATTATTTCTTATTCCGTAATTGTGATCCCAATTCAATGTTAAAACCTCCTGTCTTGTTTATTAAGATTTTTTATTATTAATTGTTCTTGGCTTTTAACTAGCTTCCAGTACCTGCGAGTACTCTCAAATCGTACTTTCGTGTTAATTCGACCTGTTGTCACAATTTGTAACAATTTTGTGTTTTATCTCGTCTTACTATTTTTAATATTTACCACCTTTGATAAGTTTTAGTATGACGAACAAATTTTCACTTCTGTACTCGTACTATTAATAACAAATTTATTTTTAAAAAAATGTTTCTGTACTCCTAACATCAAAATTTAGCATCCTGGATATTGTTTCTCTGAAAAATTTGTACGATACTGTAGATACTTTTCTTTTCATTGAACCAAATGAATCTCAGCCTTGTTTCTGCGCGTAAGAATCATGTGTCCTCAGCAGCTAAAATCAGATTTCTTTGTAACAATTTAGTGTTTACTAAAAGGATGACAATAATATTGCTGTTTTTTTTTTGGAATAAGGAAGAGGGAGGTCACGGTGAAAGTTTTTAAGCTTGGAATAGTTTTGAAATTCTAAAATTGTTGATAAAAAATAATTTGTTGCAGATGATCAAGAACGATTTTATTACTGCAGTTGATAATTTTACCATAAAAACATTTTCCAAGAGGAGAAGGGGGGTTCCCGTAAGATTTAAAAGTTGTACTTTAAAAGAAAAATGTATCTATTAGCTATTAAGCATCATTTACTGCACCTTTAAGCCTCTGGTCAACCTAAAATTATTGTCTGATCGGTTGTCAGGGGGAATTTTCGAAAGTTCAATAAAACATTAAAAAAATATTTAAATATTTCATGCAAGGGCAGACTAGAATTTGTTAGGAAATGAAGTCTAGATAACCTAAATAACACACACAAAAATTTGATTTTTTTTAAGTTATGCATTTTAAAGATCTAAAAGTAAAGTCTGTTGTCAAGGATTTTTGATAAAGAATTAAGGGGGAGTAAGTGAACGATGTGTCCTAATTTTCTATTTTTTCAAATATTTTTCCTGAATAAAAAAAAAATATGCCTAAATTTTAATTGAAAATGAGTGAAAAATGAGTGAATGAAAAAAAAAATACCAGACTAAGAAATACACTTTTAGTTAAATATTTGTAATATCACGAAGCTTATCGACAGAGGAACAAAATGGTTATAATCAATATGTGCCACAATGCCCATTAGAGGGGTAACAGAGGACCTAAATGCCAAAATACGCGTGAAAATTAAGAAATAGCCAATTTTGAATAATGAAATGGATATTTTGAATAATGGAATGGACTGCTGCGACCCTTCAGCCTTCAGGTGAGAGTTTATCTTTTACTCCGTGTTGAAGGCCTCACTGTTATTTAGAGATGAAGAATAGCAATGAAAGCGCTGTTCCTTTGCTTTTTGTGTGTTTGGTTGTTTTTTTTCTTTTTTTGCTGTACATGTACTGATTTTGTGTCATGGATGGATACCCCATATCCTTTGCTTTTCTATCAAATATGCTTACTTGAACTGTGATGAGATGATAAGAGCTTTAAATTTTCTTCTTGACAACATATATGTACGTTTCGGCAATAAAGGTTTAACGAAATTGTGTAGGTATTCCGATGGGTATCAATTGCGCCCCTTTAATAGTACACTTGTTGTTGTATTGTTATGAATCACAATTTATGGCCAAAATCAGTAAAAATCCGTTAAAATTACATTTAATTGATAAATTTAAAACATTCACGGTAATTCAAGATATTTTTGCTTTAAATAATCCAGAATTTTCGAATTTTATTGCGGGACATATTGACTATATACCTTTTGTTCCTCTATTGATAAGCTTTCGAATGACATATAAGGTATATCTGTAATTAGGGGCTGAAGGGTCGCAGCAGTCCATTCCATTATTCAAAATATCCATTTCATTATTCAAAATTGGCTATTTCTTAATTTTCACGCGTATTTTGGCATTTAGGTCCTCCGTAACCCCTCTAATGGGCATTGCGGCACAATCGATAAGCTATATCTATAATCAGGGGATGAAGAATAGCAAAGATCCAGTGAAAATAAAAAAATTACAATGTATAGTATATTGATTTTTATATATGTTTTGGTATTCAGGTCGTCCATACATTAAAACAAGGAATTTCTGTTAAAAATAGTTAAGGAAACCCACTAGTTTATCCTCCGAAACTAAATAAATAAATAAAAATAAAAATTTCAAAGAGTGTTTTGATTTATTTTTTCTTAGATTACTTTGAATATTTGTTAAATAACACCAAAATGACGAATTCAGAATACGGGATATAGTGTCACAGTCAAAAAATAAATTTTCGATTTCATTATTCACTTTTCAGCTTGAATACTGAAATATGAACTATTTCATTATTCATTATTGAATTTTGAATAATGAAATATGAATAATTGACGTACTTCGGCGCGGTATTTATGACAATAATTGTTGTGAGCACAAGATTCACTGCACAGTTTTAAAGTTTTGCTAAAACAAAAATTAAAATGTAAACTTAAGTTTTGCGAAATTTGTTTGATGATTACCGATTGAGATTTTAATCTAAGAGAACATGGTTTATTTATTAGCTGAACTAGGTTTCAGTAGCTGTGAGTACTCGTGGTTCAATAATTTGTGTCTTTATGTTAATATTTTGTGTGCTAAGTGTTGTGTTGTTACACCACTGTACCAATGAAGGAGGAAAGGAGGAGGGGTTGGGTGGGGTGTGGAGCGCAAACAAACATGTTAAGTCCTGTCACGAGTGCCCAAAACCAGTGGTTGTCGATGCTTGCTATCTGTCATGTTTGTTTTTTGTTCAAAGTTGTATTTTAAATCAGGCCGAAGGTCTTCATTTTTTATCGTTTACCGTGATTTTTATAGCTAGTATTCGTTATGGTTTTGCTCATTGTTGAAGGTCATACTTTGACTTGCAATTGTTCACATCTTGTTCCATTCTAGTAAGTTTTTATCAGTCATGTATGAAAAGCAAGTCTAGGTCGTTTATTTATCCAGTCGAAATGTATTGGATCGAGACAGTGTATATATTAAGGAAGAAATTAGAGGCACCAGTAGTAAGATCATCTAATCTCGTATATTTAACTGAAATAAACCAGTCAAACGTTTATTGTCGTTATAATATACATGTCGCTTAACCTTAAGCACCTTTTAAAACTGTTTAATTAGCATATTATGTAGAGAATCATCAATTTAAGGGCATTTAATATCTTAAATAAAACTATTCTAATTAGATATACATGTATTTTCATCTGATATTGGACGGCAGATGTTGCCCTTTTATGTAATATAAGTTACGATTATTTGAAAACGCTTATTTAACAGTCAAATGGATGCACAAAAGTAAAAAATTGGAGTCACAAATCCGATTGAATACAATTATCTTCCCAATTTTATTAATTCTGTAACGTTTGTTTCAAATATAACCAACTGTTTACCCAAAATCACCAGCACCGTATCAGGACCCACGAGCACAATGACAGGACCCACCAGCACAGAATCAGGACATGTCTAAACTGAGAAAATGCACAATTTTAATAAATTGCACAGGTTTTTCACAAAATAATTTTTTCGTGTGGATTTGGGTATAGAAAGCGGACTCCAGGAGCATTTTTGTTTTATTTTTTCAGTTCTAGATTTTCTAAAAATGAGCACTTTTGTGTTACGCTTACTGAAACAGTTTAGAGGGTCACATTTGTAATTGTTTGCCTATGAACCCATAAGAAACAAAATTAAAAAAATCTCAACTGTTTCCTTCCATTTTTTATACGAAAAAACGTCAAAATTCTTCATTTTCGCCTTTGTTTACATATTTTTAATGATCACCAGCACCAGTCAGGACCGAATCACCAGCAAAGAACGTTCTCTCGAAGGACAACCTTACCCACCGTGAGTCATAGTGAAAACTATAAGTCACTCCCATTCATTTGCAATTTTTCA